ATTGTATTAATATTTTCTACAAACCTAATATAAAAAATTAAATTTAACAAAATCATGTTTTAAGAATAAAATTTATAAAAAATCATCTCATTTTCATCTAGATAAAATTGATTTTATCTGTATCTATATCTAGATATATTTTAATTTATCATTATCTATCTCTATCTAGATATATTTTGAGTTCATATATCTTATCTATATCTAGATACAAAAAAATTATCTAAGCACAACRCTGATTAAATGCTATTGACTGTACTACAAACGAAAATGAATCTTTTTTGTTTTTCAATKATTCTATTAAAGGTATAGTAATGTTTACATGTAAATCAAATTTAGAGTTTTTAAGTAAAATTAAAACAGTGTATGTTGATGGCAYTTTGAATATTGTACAACATTTTTTTGCCAATTATTTACAGTTCACGGMCTTTTTAACAATTATTACGTTCCTTYAGTATATTTTTTGTTAAAAAAAGATAAACAAACAATTACTTAKTCTGAAGCATTTAAAGMTATTGATTTAGAATGCTCAAAAGTGTGTCCAGAATTTAAAATCGATACAATTTATGTTGATTTTGAAGTTTCTATTCACAAGGCAATTCAGAAAATTTGGCCAGAATCACTTATAAAAGGATGCAGGTTTCACCTAGGACAATCGTGGTGGCGAAAGATGCAAGACCTGGGCTTAGCTAGAGAATATGGGTTGAATGGAGAAGTTGGCTACTATCTATCATATATTTTTGGATTATTGTTTTTGAGTCCAGAGGAAGTTGGTGATTTTTTTTCATTTGAATTATCAGAAATAMWACCAGTTGATTCTAAAGTTGTAGATTTCGCTGACTATTTAGTCAACAATTATATTTCAGAAGAATCACTTTTCCCTCCATCAATATKGGCAGAAAAGAGTTCAAGTTTACAGCRAACGACAAACGGATGCGAGTCTTTTCATAAAAATTTAATAGTTTTTTTAATAGTTACCATCCAAATATTTATACATTTTTAGATGTTTTAAAGATAATGCAAACCGATAGTGTTATGATAATAAGAAGCTCGCTAATTTCTGTACATCAATATAGGAAACCGCGCAGAAACAATATTTTATTTGTTGAAAATCAGATCAAAAAATTACATGAAAATGAAATAACAAGATTAGATTTTGTAAAAAGCTTATCTAATATATATAAACCTAATTTTTAACTTCYATTTTTACCGACAACATTATTATTATTATTTATTAATTAACTTATTTATTATATTATGGCCTATATTATAATTTTAATTACTATACTCTATTTTGATTTATTTACTTTTTTATTATATTTGATAAATAATGTTTTGATTGACTTATATTATATTTATAACATATTATATATGTTTAGAACCCCTGATTTCAATACACGAATTGCGTCCCAAAAAATACAGGACGCAATTCGTGTATACCTTTTTTACCGGACGCAACTCGGGTGATCCCCTTAATAGATACCGTTAATAATGTTTTAAGCTAATCCACGCCCAGTTTTTAAGTTTAAATATATATCTTAATCAATGAGGTACCAAACTCTCGATCTCCACTAGTTATAAACATTTGACCATGGACGTAAATCGGGTGCTCAGGAGGACTTAATCCTCAAAACACCCTGAAGCCCCCCAAATTTTTTCAAATCAATCTCGTCAGTACAATAACCAATAAATTATGTTCTTGTAGTATTATTCACAATKCCACGATTTATACGAAGTAGTTTATATTTTCAGCTTCCTCTTCCTATATCAGTGGTTCCCAAACATTATTATTAGTTATTATAAGTCATGGCATACTTATATATATATACTAATATATTATATTATTGTTATTAGTTATAATTATAAAAATAAATTTGTATCATTTTATTTGTATCATTCAAACTATAATTGTATTATTTTTTTTATATACATTTTAAAAATAGTTTTAATAATAATTTTATTTAAATATTTTGAAAAAACATTTATAAAAATGTATGAAAACTTTATAATCATTTTATAATGTTCAAGTTATTGTTGCGACACCACCTTTGGGAAACACTGACCTAGAAYTATATTTATACACATACATCTGACGTATTCAGACTGTGGTTTGGTCATAGTTAAATGATTAAACGTGGTATTTGCATTGATTATAGTACGACAAGATCAAAACCAAAATGAATAAAATCGCGGATAGAAAAAACGAAGAAGGAAAAAATGACGATGAATTCATTAGTTTTATCGTCAAAATCGATCGTGTCAATGGTACGTCAATTTTTGTTATCTAATAAAATTACGTTTTTATTGAGAATACACAATATTCTTCATAAATACAAATAGTATTATCTATTATAAGAACTGTTTAACAGTCACAGTTCTGGTTCACTCAAGTAGTTGTTATTAAAAATTTTTGATTGCGTAAACCCGTGGAAAACTGTTTAGAAACTATATTAATTTTTATAATTTTGTCAGGTGTCTAAGAGAAGGACGGTCTTCGCATCTAAAAAAACTCTACTACACTCACGACCTATTCGACTATATCTGAGACTMTGTAGATTAAACTAATTTTATACCGATGCGATTGTTGAATAACATTTAAATCTCGTGGTTACAATTATAAATGACTGCAAGGAGAAATCRAAATAATGTAGTTGTCAGTTGGATATCATTATTAACGCGAATCAATAATTCATGTGATAAATTTTTTTCAAAAGTTATCGTGGGTGGCAGTGGAATGCTAAGGAATTTTCAYTGGAGGGGATGTTATAACTAATAATAAATAAGTATAGGTTAATGAATTGTATCAGTAATATCAAAGACACAAAAAACGACATTTACCGRATAACAGAAAAGAGATTTAACCCCTAACCTCTCTTCTGGCAATTCCTTGGTGGGGAGGGGGAAACATTATAGTGTGATGTGACGGTAAACACCGCCTTACGGCCGTTTCCACWACAAAACCGTTTTAACTTTTAATTTATCAAAATGTRCATATTGTTCAGATATCGTGTATAAGGACGTCACGATCGGTGTGTATGGGAGTTACAGCAACTTTACAGCGGAAACCAACGTGACGGACGAATGTGGGCGATCAGAATTACTCCAACAATGTAGCGATAAGTCACTGTTCGTGTACGGGTTTCAGCTTCCGGTCACCAAACAACTTACCGACTATTTTATCAGCGTGTCTTATCGGCAAGTGAAGTAAAAAATAGAAATTATATTAAGTGTTTTATACGTTGTACGTCATTATATTTACCTATCTATATATATAACGGATCTGGTAGGCCATGGGATATGTAACAGAGTTGACCAAAACGAGACTCGTGAGTAGTATGCGGCTCTTGACACCAAGCCATCGGCGCGGCGTAGCCAGGATTTTTTTTCGGGTGGGGGGGCTGATCAATTTTTTACACAGTAGTGCATTAAATACCTACTAGCACGGCTGAAGCTATAAAAAACTAACAAAATAAAGATGACAATTTAAAATTAGTAAAATACAATGTAAGACTTTTTGAGTGAATATTATAGACCAGCGGTTCTCAACCTTTTTATAGTCATGTACCACCTACACAATTTGAAAAATTTTTACGTACCACCTGACCATTTTTTTGCTTATWAATAATGTATACGTTTATGTTATATGTATAGAATTTTGTTAGTAAATTAATTTTTATAAAGGCAGATTTCGTTCTCGTATCACCTATGAGCTTTCCGTGCGTACCAAAGGTTGAGAATAAGTGTTATAGATCTTTAAAATAATTTTTTAATTTTATTATCATTTCGGGGGTTGAGTGTCTGCAAGTCTGTCAGCCTTTATTTTTATTATATATGTACGTATACAAATATAACTATTACAACAATAATATAGAGATTCAAACGAAGGCAACCTTAATACCACCACTCACTCAAAACAATAATTTGATTTTGGTTTGGCGTTATACTCGTTGCACCATATATGACTAAAGAAATAATATAAATAGAAGTATTTATCAATAACAGTTTTTACTTACGTATTTTAGCATAAGTAAAGGCAGTCTGAACGGTTGTCCGACTAGTATGTCCGTATTGACAACTTGTCCATCGGACCCGTACACCAGTTTGTGGGCGCTGAATGGCACTCGATGGAATCCGTCAGACACGTCTTACGATTGGCAGACTGACAAGTATTCAGTTTCCGAAGATTCGGAATCGGTCACCGTAATCATCCGGTACAAGGCGTGGTCGTACGAACGACTAAAGGTAATTTACTCCCACAGTCCCACCTCATTTTCATGTTAGTGTATGATGTTTGATTAAAGTAAAAATAATTTTTTGATACATTAAAATTGTTTTCAATGATAAAGTGGCCAGGAAAAATAATTAATTTTTTCAATATTATTACCTATTTCACAGAATTCAGATAGAAAATTTAAAAATGTAATCTATTAAAAGACGTGATACCCGCATGTGTTATTTCCGTCTCACAAGTACGTAAGAGAGCAAATCTTACGTTCAGCAGAACACGCGTAGCTATGTTAATTTAAAATTTAGAGGTAACATTATTTTCTAGACAACCTCATATGCTTTTTATTATATTTTAATTTTAAAGTGAGTAATGAGTATTTAAAAATTGTAAATTTTTACATCTTAAAATTATAATGATAAAAAGCATATGAGGTTGTCTAGATAATTATCTTACTTTTAATTGTATAAGAGGTCAATTCATTCTAAATGTTTAATTAATACAGCTTCACGTGTTCTGATGAGCGTAAAATTTATTATATTCAGCACTTGTAAGACAGAGACAACACATGCGGGTGTTAAGGTTTTAAATTATATGTCTGATAAATATAAAAATTATCCAAGTAGGTATATTGCATTATGTTTTCATTTCAGGAGCGAACACATTAGTGTACACTCCCTCCAAATTTTTTTCTTACATTCACCCCTATCTTTATGTCCTTAAAGTATTTAAAATGTGATGAAAAAACAATATTTAAAAAAAAATTTTTAGTTGATTTACTAAAGCAGTATTTAAAATTTGAAACAATTCATGTTATAATTTCATATTTTGAAACTAATCCATAAAAGCCTTGCAAATGTAGGTATAAATTGTCTGTGAATATATTATATTTTATGCTTTATATTTATATTATATCATGATAAATACTAGCACATTATTTTTCTAAAATGAAAAAAATATTGTTTTCTCAATGGTTTCGCAATCCTTGAATATAATATATTATAATATATTTTTGTTAGTACTAGTAATAGTAATACGTCATGTCTACATTTCTTGAATATTTGTCAACTTCTTAGGAATAAGGATATACAAATTGTGTAACTCTACGGATAATACAAAATCGAGTTTTGATTTACAGGCGTCATGCAAGTCACAGGAAGACAAACGGACGTTGGCCATCGTCGAGTACACTGTCGCTCTGCACAATGACTTCAGCGAGATCTTGTAAACCAATACTAACAAAATTATAATGCCGTAATGTATCTACATAAATAAATCTGCGAATATATCGATGGAGTAATCGAAGACGAGACGGAAATAATTTGCGAAGCAGTAAAATTGGTCGTGCCTGTGGGGATGTTAAACTATTACAAATATTGCAGTCTATATCTTAATTTGAATTCTTTGTTTTTATTTTATTCTGTATCGATCCTAATTCTTTAAACTATAGAACTAAATATTTGTTAATCACGTTTACGTCGGTGTCGGTGTTGTTTTCGTTTTATCAATTATTTTAATTATTTAAAAAAATGTTCAATCGTCACATACAGCGCCGTGTAAATTTGATCAATTTCGTGATTTTTCGCACTTATCGAGCACATTGCACGTCATTTTACTTACCTTCACACATTGAACTTTCGCTGACCTTAGTGGTAAAATGTTTTATATTATTAAATGTACCTAAGGTGCCTAATATTACGCGCACTCTTTTTGTCTTAACAGTGTTAGGTACTATAAATTAAAATACATTTTAAAAATAACAATAATCGCTATTTACAGAGTATATATATATATATATATATTATTACATATATATAATAATATATGTAATATATATTATATATATATTGACAGTATGTTTCTTTTAATCGTTAGAGTTCGCATAAAACAGTGTTCATGTAGGTATACATACAAATATTAATTTTGCTATTCATCTTTTATTGTAATAATTATATTATATTATGAAATATAGTTCGCCATTACGTACATTGGTAAATCATGTGTCGTAGCAAAAAAGGCGTTTATCTACAATTTTATTATTATTATAATTATGATTATAGTAAAATAATGAATGTATGATTATGTTAATTTGCGCGATTATTATCACCATACAAAATTAACGGCTTTTTGGATTCATATTATTATGAAATGTTTTTAATTTAGAATTTAGAATTAGAAAAACTAGTTACGATGTAGGTTAAATTTGTACAAATTATTGTTTCTAACAACTTGTATAATAATATTAAGTTGTGTGAAAGGAGAAATCCGAAATGTTGTTTAGTTGAGTTTTTTCGATCATGTTTTTCTCTTTGTTATTTTAAACAATTTAAACGGATTTTTAAATAGAACTATTTACGAGGACACAAAATATGTGTAGCTATAGAATATTAAAAAGAATACATTTTTACATCTGTTTTTTTTTTAAATAAAATATTTTATCAAAAATTTAAATAAATATTACACTGTTGTTGATGTATTTTAAACCATCAGTTTATAAATTGCAAGCATTCTTTGAAAATAACAAAATTAATACATGAATAATGTAACATAAAACAGAATTTTAATTAACTGCAAGTCATCGATATAGAATTGGGACGAAGTTTTAACTTTTCTATTAATTAAGTTAAATTTTAAAAATCAATAATAACATTTAGTTCATTTTAATTTAATGAAACATCTCGTCCCTCAATAACGTTAGRTTCCGATTAAAAAGTTGTTGATTTTCAGATTAGAAAAGAGCGGATGGTTGTAATTTAATATGATTAGGTAACAGGTAACAGTGCTCACTGTTCACAAGGAATCGCCATGTATCGAAATAAAATTCGGTAAATTTTGAGTTATCAGTTTGGTTTGTTTCTATATTGAATTTTGTACAAGTTAAATTTTGGGGATGGAAGTCTTGGAGTTCAGTCCGACCGTGGAAACGAACGGTGGATCCGAGACCCCCGTACAAAACAGGGAATACTTGGAGTATTTACAATTTAGTGAGTGAATTACCATGTCCAGCCCGTTTGGAAAAGTGGCGTCGGCCCGGATAGCATGGCCTAAGCAGGCGTGTCTGGGGGGGGACTATATCACTATATTAGTCGTGGTTGCCCTAAAAAGGGTAATTTCAGTATCTCCAGATTTTATTAAAGTCACTCGATTGGAACCTAAGTTTCTCGGTGGAAGATGGGTGGAACACGTGGCTTTAAATTCCGGTGGCTATGGATCGTTATTCCACGGTAATAATCTAAGATCCCGTGCCAGCTAATCCCAGCCGGTGTTAAATAGTCTGCAGCGTCATTTGGCTGCTCGTGATCGGTTGGATCGGCAGATGTATCTCGTGACGGCCGTCTATGATTATCAGAAGCGTCAATGGTCTTGCTCCCGGATCGTTTTGAAAAGGATGGTTTTGGTTAGCTACGGTAGTTGCTACCACCGGCGCCATTGCTGTCAAACTTGTCCAAAATCGGGGGAAATGTCTAAAAGATCGTATTTTTGATCGGACCAAAAAATAAAAAATAAAATAAAATAAAAATAATAGTAAAATATTGTATAGTAGCAGCGTAACGTTTAAGATTGTGATGATGAGTGTTAAGAGGACGCCGAACATATTGAAGGTGTAAAACATGCTTCAGCTCTCTACACACTGCACAATACACAAATACCGCAGAAACGTAATTTTAACACTAATAGACAGATCATGACTTATGCTGTGTTTTCTMGATGGTTTTTTTTTTTAAATTACTTTATTTTGTTTATATGGAGGAAAAATATAAAAATAAATTATATTTTTAAACTTAAATATTTGTTTACATACCTAATCAATCAAAAAATCTCTCCGAGGAGGCATAGTTTAATCTCCCTTCTTTCAAACTAACAAACACAATTTATTTAAGCGAATTATTGAAGGAGCTTGCAATTTTGATTTTACAGTGATGTGTTTTTTTATTTTTTTTTTTTTTGTGTCTGTCATCACCTTTTAGGGCAGTAAAAATGCTTGGATTTTCTTCAACAGTATATTTTCTGATAGGAAAGTGAATCTAGTTTGTACTTTTGAGGGGTCAAAAGTAAAAATTTCCAAGTAGTTTTCATAAGCACCGTTGAAAACAAATGAAAAATTAAGGAAAAACSGTAATTTTTACGCAAACCCGATTTTGGTTTTTGGTGTAACTCTTAAAGAAATTTAATAAATATTGTAGTTAAAAATATATAAAATGTTCAAATTATATAGCTAAGGATTGAAAATTTAAAACAAGGTTCCACGTAAATAGGTTATAATATATAAATTACTCTATTCACAATAATATCAACAAATATACTTCTTAGTAATATCATAGGCTGACTGACTGTTTACGCTCAGAATCGTATTTCTTATACAATGATATTATATCATTGGATTCAAATTTAATACCATCCGTTATAGTAACCCACTTGTAACCTGCTGTATAGCGGAGCGACATCCACTTTCCCGCTTTTTCTTTGTGTGTATGCATACACGACTAGTAGTCGGAATAATTCTTTGATTTTCAGTTTCAGCATTTTTACTGGATTTTTTTACACCGATTATGTTTTTTGGTATAGTTAACTCGAACAAAAAATTAAAAACGAATAACCGTAAATATTGGTTTTGCATAAAATTTTCCAGTTTTATTTTTTTTTTGTTTTCCCGTATGTTTTGAAAACTACAAGGAATCAACTTCTCTAACCTACTAAATTCACTTTTCTAGCATAAAGTATTATGAAGTCTAAAATTGGAGCATTTATACCATCTCATAAAACAGACAGAGAAAAAAACACTACTTTCATTTCTACGCTTAGAATCTAAAATTATAATTAAAAGTATTTTTCATACATACATTTTTTATAGCCTAAAAAATCAGTTATCGGATAACATTATAATAGAATCGGTAAACGATGAGGTACAAACTAATTCGTTGATATTAAATAATTATAGCAGTCCAGAACATATTTTGAGTGTTTTGAGTGTTTTTACTGATGCAGAAAAACAAAATAGATCAAGTCCTTTAGTTTCTATTTGTTTAACTATCTAATGTATCAACAACAGCTAAATTTAGAATACAAGCATACAAAGGTWATTCTGACTTTCATGTAGTGACATGAATGTTATACGATTCTTTTTATCTTTTTTCGACCACATATTGTCTAAGTGAGCCATGAGTGTATGATAGTTGCCTAGTAATTTAAGTAGTTCAATAAAATTATCTGCGAAAAATAATGAAGATATGATTAAAAGCATTGTTTAAATTTTCAGTACATCTCCTACCATTTTAACTACGAAAATATAAATTAATAATTATTATATTTTATACTATGAGCACAAAATGGAATTAAAAACTACAACTTTTTATTTTACCTTGATTTTGTGAAGATATTGTTTCATCGTGACTCTGCAGAGCTATATTTTGTCTAGAATTAACTCTTTAATAATAGTTTGAACAATTTCTCGGTTTTCTGAAATCTTAGCATGACTAGAATGGCGTAGTTGCATATCAATTCTTATATTTTTTGAAAACAGACTACGACTTATTTCTGCTTGTAAGTTTTCAGTATGAGTATGATTATTTAAATTTCTGTTTAAATTTGTCCAATCATTAGAACCTTCATGAGCAAGAAGCAAGTTTTTTGCTTTAGTTAAGCAAAACAATTTGAACGAAATACAAAAAACTTTATCTAATGATGGAGAGTAAGACAACCAAGTTCGATTTACTGGAGAATTATTTGTCACTGATTTATAATAATATGATTGGTGGGGTGGAAACATCTTAATCTTTCAGATGAATCTACAGTTTTAGGAAAAAATTTACTTGGCAATTCCTATAGGAAKATATATATATGGTGATGGCTGACAAGATCCATATTGCATAATATAACATAACATTGCATTTGATATATAATCAGGAAATTTGCATGGATCATTTTGAAATAACTCTGGTTTACAACCTATACAAATTAAATAATGTCATATACATAATGCCAGAATTCGCCAAAAGGCAAAACTTTACTATTAATATCTATAAACAGAAACAATTTAATATTTACCTTCATYAACTTCATGTATCTTTAAATCAGATGGATCGCGAGTTGCATTACGTTCATTAAAATGGTCAGGTTGTAAACATGTATCAATCATTTTCCAGAATTTGTACTAGTGTTATAAGTATTACTAGATTCACCAAGTCCAGACTTCAAAGAAACACCTTAGAAAATATATATTATTATTTAAAATAAGAATATATACCAAATATTTTGAGACTTGAAAGTACACTCAACCGTCTCAACCCATTTTAAACTATGTAATATGTATAATGAGAATGAATACATTTTAATTTTTGAATGTACAATTCAATGTACAGTGTATAAAATCGGTTTAAAATGATTGTAGTCATGTCATCATGATAATTAATCACATTGTGTCACTATGAAACTATAAATTTGAAAATTGAAATTAAATAATTAATATTTATTTTAATCAACTGTAAATTACTTACTTGTAATAAATTCAATAGTCTTTAATGAAGATTCAACTTTAAAAAACTTAATATTTGAGTCAATTTAGTGGTTTTTTTACTGTCGCATTTCTTCCAATTCCTTATWATTTGAATTCCAATTGCATATTCAATACATTTAAATGAATCATACGATAATATGAAAACATTACTTGATGCTATTAAGTACGATACTTACAAATGGAAAATCTGCGGTGATCTAAAAGCTATTGTCTTATTGGCATGCTTATGGGCATGCAAAGAGGGTTCAAA